CCCGCCGAGACCGGGTAGTCTGGGTCCTCCGGAGGACCCGGCCTGTCGTTTTGGACACAGCCATTTTGTGGGTCAAAAACTGAGACGTATGGGAACTTCCCTTTTACTGTGCAACCACTAGGAAGAAACGTCTAATATAATGGGAGCAGTAGAAACACTGGCTTTGTAAGTTTGTTTAAAAGTTTACTAAATGCTATTATTCATACTGTATTCTCCCACCCATGTTAGTGCACACAACATGTTTAAAATACAAAAGTATAAAATACTTTGTATCTGGGTAAAATGATCCTATAAGTAGACTTTTAAAAAGTTAGTCTTATGGTCAAATACAGGCTGAGCTGCTTTTTATATGTTGTCCAAAGTGGGTGGAGCAAAGTCTAATATTTGCTTTGTTGTATCTTCAGAAAACCTTCACGCCCAACATCATTGGCCGAAAAGTGAAAGAAGAGTAAGTTGCCTTGAAACAAACATATAGTCTCTACGTTTATTTGTTTTTTAAATTATGATGCTCTGTGACCGTCGTGTCAGACCAAAAGCTGAAGGTGGGCAGAGGCGAGAGCGAAGGGACGCAGACCGAGGTCGGGGCCCGCGGGAGCGAGGCAGGGGTCGCGGCCGCGGCGTCCCAGAGGTCATCCAGTCACACTCTATATTCGAGCAGGGGCCTGCAGAGATGATGATGAAAAGGAAAGGTGGGGAATCACTTTCTCCTTTTTCTTTAAAATAAGAAAATGCACTTACAGTAATATTGACGCCTTTGTGTTCTTATTTACAAAAATCCAATGATATCCTGCAGGTTCTTATGAGAATGAAAGAGATGCTCCCAGCATGGGACCCTCCCCCATCATCAATATTAAAAAGGAGAAGAAAGAGACCGAGGAGGAGACGAAAGAGATTCTGCGCAAGCTGGAACGAGACAGTGTGAGGCCTTAAGTTGCCAGACATAATGTTAAACATTTATGTATGAAACTTTACTATTTTATTGTCGTTTTGTAGTTCATAGATGACCCTTTCCTGAAGGGTGAGAGGAGTAGCTGTCCGGTTCAACTCCCTCTCGCTGTGTCAGGGTGGGGATTCAAGGAGGAATTCAGTAACACGTCCCTTAAAGTTGAAAAGACAGAGGAGGACACTGAGCTCTCAGAGTCTGGAGTAGAAGGTAATGCATCACATATTTATTAGATATTAAACCTATTTGAGTGGGTTTTTTTATGCAAAGCATTGTCTTGGTGCTTGCTTAATATAAATTTGTCTTTAGTAAAATCAGAGCCAGAAGAAGTAGAAATAAAGAAAAGTGAAGCAAGTTTCAGGCCTCCTCCGCTTCCTGAGCCTGAACATCTCACTGACCTGCTTCGTAAATGGAGTCTGGGCAGAAAGGAGGAGCTGCTCTTCATTCAGCTGCCCGACTCGCTGCCCGGCCAGCCTCCCACCCAAGAGCACCGGCCGGTGAAAACAGAGGTGCAGTCAGAGGACGGACAGTCTGTGCTGCTGAAGAAAGAGACACAGGTTTGATTTCAAACAGGTTTTATTATTTTCATCTACAAAGCTAAAGGTTGACGATAGTTTAATTTGTGACAGGAAGAGGAAGCCGAAGACAACAGCTGCAATCTGAAGGATCTACGGGAAGGACTTGTGGGGAAGATGCTGGTGCGGAAGTCTGGCCGGGTGCAGCTCATACTGGGACAAGTCACTCTTGACGTGTCTGTTGGAACATCCTGTTCTTTCCTTCAGGTATAAGAGCATTCCTCTCTTTGTCTCTGTGTTGTGTTGGTTTCTATTCAGCTTCACTGTTTGACATCTTCCACATAACAGCTGTCATTTGATCATATTATATATACTTACTAAGTTGTAAACATTTCTGACAACTTAACTCCACTGCATCCCTTTGCTTTCCAGGAGCTGGTCTCTATTCAAACACAAGAAAAAACAGGCAACTTGACTGTTTTAGGAAATGTCAGACACAAAATGGTCTGTTCCCCAGACTTTGAGGCTCTGTTGGAGAAGAGTGCTTAAGAGCACAGGCTGCAAGATGGACCATCACTGTTTGGGCTGTCCTTTTGGAAACCATCATCTAATAGAAGATTCCAAATGCCCTAAAATGAAAGATTATTGTTTCATTTTGAGGAATAGCCTTGTCAAGTTATGATGCAAAGTTTGAGTGGCATGCTGAGTTACAAAACTTTTTATTTACTTGTCAGAACTGTACATGGATGTAGATATGTAAAAAAGTGTATTATTTCATTAGGTCTTTACTCAGATCAGACGACAGTATGGTGGTTTATTTTGGTTGTTTTAAAAATTTCACATATTGTTTTAAATTTGTGCTGATTGTAATGAAACAAGGTTGCACAGCTTGTTTCTCGCACTGCAGCTCAAAACTGAAAATGTAATAAACACTTTTAACTTGGTGCATGTTTTATTTACTTTAATAGGTGGAATCTTTCACTGGAGTGCAGTAGTTGGACTCGAATAACCTCTGAAAACTGATTTCCACTTAGGATTTGGTGAAATTTAAAACAATGTGTCCTTTTGGACGCCAGGTGGCGCTGCAGGTCGCCATTTTGATGAGGATTTCCTTTGGGCAGGTCCACGTAGTTTGCTGCTTCGAGTAGCCCGCTCGTGTGAAACACCAGCGGGGACAGGGACTGTCCACGAAACAAAGCCAGAGTCATGGACGGGTGAAGCGCAGCTATACCAGCGCGGGAGTCAGCTGAAGGTTTGTTAAATGCGAAGTCATTTTAACCTCGCATATTTTAGAATCGGGACGTAAACGCATCGTGTGGCGTTTAGGGGAGTTGGATCAAATTCGCTGCCTCAGCGGCGCGTGCCATACACTCGCAGATTGTTAGCAAAGCTTGAAGCGGCGTGGAGCTGGTCTTTTATCTCTACAAACCAACTCTGACTTTAATTCTAAATGTCTACTATCGTCTTTTTGGGGTTTTAATGATAGTAGAAAGCCGCGGCGGTCTGGAAACCACATTTTAATCGGGATGGACCACTACCGTTAGCTGTGCTGCTCCATCATTGGAGGGCGGTAGATGGAGGGCCTCCAGCTAGCTTTATCTCTGCTCCGCAAGTGCTAACAGTAATGTTTGATCATTATATGCTCGATCACAGGAATATACACCCATACATAAATCATCTGCAGGATAAGAAGTACTTGTGTCTGTCAAGCTTTACATAGCATCAATGTGTTCAGGATATGTTGACACATGAAGGATGTACGGTGTTGGTAAATCACATTAATTGGGCGGAAAGGGGACGTGTTGCTGTGAAACAGATGGTCCTGACCTATTGTTTGTGTTTCTACCCACAGGTCTTTGCGTGACACCGAGCGGCAGTCTCCTCACCAGACAAGAGAACCACCTGCTGAGCCTAGATTTTTGTTTCATTGTTTACATTTTTCATATCAGCAGGACGCTTCTCACAAACAGCGAAGGACATCTGGCTTTACCTCCCATCCGACCCATTTTCCCACCCACATAAGTAAACTCTGTCCCGTTCACGGTTACGCTAATGACATGACCAAACTCTGGCCAAATGGGTAACAAAATCATGCTTTTATTTTTGTACTGACTCGCCTCAAAAAGTCAGGAGCAGCTCCATGATGGTTTTCTTGATGAAGGCCCCTTTGTGACAAACACTAGGGCCACTTGGGGCCAGGAAGTGGAGACCCGTACTTCCTCTGATACAAACTCAACATTGTCGTCCAGCTGTTTGAAAGAAAAACAAAATATTTTTGCTTCAGGATGGAGCTCTTCTTCAACCCCTTTGATAATTTGCTCTGCATCCTGCTGGGCATCTCCTTCACTGTGTGGTTCACCCTGCTGCTGGTCTTCATCATTGTTCCTGCCATTTTTGGAGTGTCATTTGGCATCCGGCGCCTCTACATGAAGACGCTGTTGAAAATCTTTGAGGTATGTAGTCAAGAATCTGTGAAGCAAAGTGTTAGTTTCAGTGATACAGCTGTCACTTTTTTTGAACAGTTGCTGCAACTTGGAAAGCTGCATAACATCCACTTTTATTTTTTAAGCAAGGTATAATTCATAAAAGTAGCTTTTCTGATTTAGGTAGTTAACTTCTGTCAGGCATGTGACTCCAGTATTTTGTTAGGAGCTGGTTTAATGTTTGTTCTTAATATCCAACCACTGGCTGCAGTATGAACTGTCATATATTAACAACAGGCTTACAGGGTATCCTTCCTCTGTTATAGAAGTACAGAAAACTGTGCTTCAGACCACCTGTGGCATGACTTTATGTCTCACAGTTTTTACTTTAAATAACCAAACCTGGTACGTCATTTATCAGCCGCTCTCCTCTGGTGTAGACTCACATGTAAAACAATCATCACTTTCTGTCATGTGGCCCCTGAGAGCAGCTCTTGTACCAGAAATAAGTGAACCGGTGGGACATATGAGATACGGTCTCAGCTTCTGATTTTGGTTGCTGCTTTGAGATGCTGAGACAGAAGGTCAAAGGACAGATGCAGCACAGAGTGAGCAGTGTGTTAAAGTGGTGTTAGCTTGATTATATGCACAGTAAATGAGTATTTTACTGAAAAGTTACATTATTTTATTTGTGTCCTATTGCTTAAGCAGCTTTTTGCTGCTAACCCACAAATTTGGGAGACAATCTGTTGCTCAGTTTAAACATTTATGCTGCAGTTAAACACTTGTGAAAAACAACCACCCGTGAAAAATTCTTATCTTTTGCTGTTATGTGCAGATGTTAAAGCCACATGCTGCAGTTCACTGTTTTACCAGAAAGAGCAGCTCTGTGATGTCAGCTCATTGCTCCCCTTCAGCTGCAGCCACAATGCAACCATAGCAGGAAGTAAAAAGGAGGAGTTATTGGTGAACACAGTTTTTTTAATGTTAGACCAGCATAGAGAAAAATACTAACTCATGTCACCGTTTTGCAAATTTTTAAAATTATTTTTTATGCTTTCAGAACGTCATATTTTTTAAATTTATTTATTTATTTTAAGCCAGAAAAAAATATAATTTCAGTGCTTTAAAAGTCATTGACCAGGGTGAACTGCAACCAAAACATTGCATGCAGAGCTGCTGTATCTCTTTAAAAGTCTTTGTACTTTTTGTTTCTGACAGGCAGGAACTTCTCCAAACACATAGCACTCAGCAACACTTTCATGCACTGACAGGTTTTATTTTTTACCATCTTTGACTGATGGCAGCATATTTTGAAGTTTTGCTGTGGCTTGCTAGTGTCATACGAGATTGTTTGCTAAATAAAACTTCAGCAGCACATCCCACTGAACGTACCTACCTCACAGCTGTGGGAACATGCTGTAACATGCTGGTCTGATTTATTTATTTTTTTTGTCTCAACATGCAGAACATACTTTAGAAACTGAGATTCCTTTTTTAAATTCAGTAGATTTATGTTTGTAGACAAATATTTTAAACTATGAGTGAAGAATGAGTATCATGATGGTAGATGACTTCACATGTTTTCCAAGCATTATCAGCGTGATGCAGAATTTCCTGAGTTTTATTGCAGTATTTGCTCTTTTTCTTTCCAGTGGGCCACACTTAGGATAGAGAGAGGAGCCAAAGAAAAGAATCACCATCTGTACAAACCCTACTCAAACGGTAAGATGCTCCTGCTTTCGTTTCCTGGAAATGTGTGTTTTGATAGTTGTTTTGTATATGAGTGCTATTTATATCCTGTTTGCCTGTCCTCCTGTAGCTATCATCGCCAAGGAGCCCACCTCCCTGGAGGAGGAGATCAAGGAGATCCGGCGGAGTGGCAGCAACAAAGACCTGGACTCGGCCACAGAGTTTGAGATGTCTGATATCTTTTATTTTGCTCGAAGAGGAGTGGAGAGCATCATGGATGATGAGGTGACCAAACGGTTTACTGCTGAGGAGTTGGAGTCGTGGAATCTGCTGACCCGCAGCAACAACAACTTTCAATATATCAGCCTGAGGCTGACTGTCCTGTGGTGGCTGGGCCTCCTGATCCGCTATGGGTTCCTGCTGCCTCTCAGGTACCAATAATGTGCTGCCAACACAGTGAAACAACCCCATCTTATCCTCTTTCCAATAAAAACTATATAAGCTGCTTGTAGCCACCATTATTAAGCCTTAGCTTTGTGGGCCGACGTTTCAAAGCCTTGAGTTCAACATTTTGGTTGTCCAGTTCTTGAAATTCAGTTATGATTCTTGCACATGCACAAATTCTGGCCATTTTTACTTTTAAACAGGATCTCAAGTTTAATGCACTTCCATGTTTGCTTTATTTATTTTAGTTGGGTAGACCACGTACAGTTTTCTTATATCAACTAATTAGATTAATTAGCCCCAGGTTAGTAATTGGTTTTGATATAAAAGGAGATTTTTAGAGATGCATACTAAATAATCATGAATAACTTATTTTTTACTTACTTGCAAAGAAGTAGGTATTTATTCATTTATGTTATCATAAAGAATTCAAACAATTCATCAGAGTCTCTAAACAAATACGGCACAAAGTAATTCAAACTAACATTAATCATCAGGCTGTCAGTGTTTCACACCAACAGACGTCATGGAAACCTGTGTGTGGGCTCAGGAACACTTTCTGAAACCGCTGCCAGTAAATTTTGTCACCTGCTGCTTTTAAAATGCAAGTTAGAATTTGTATTTATAAAAGGAAGACCTAGAAACATTAATACCTTCCAGCCATAAAGCCAACATGTTGATATGGGCTGAGCGCATGTAAAAAGGCTTTGTTTGTTTTTGAAACAATGTAGCATATTTTAAGAGAAGTAAACCAGCCTGCTTGTTATCAATGCACAGTTCAAGGCCAACAAATGTGATGGTGGATTTGGATGTAAACACATTAATGCTGAACTTTATAAACGGCACATTAGCTAAAGTATTTCGGCGCTAGTGCCGCAGAGAATTTGACTCCTTCACGCTGCTGTAGTTTGTCAGTTCTCTAAACATTTACTGAGTAAAAGAGATCAGGCTCATCTTAGAGATTCACAGGGACGGTGACTCAGTACTGAGCCAGACTGGCTCATTTCCAGCTGTCAGTGGGGAGACGAATCAGGCCACTGCTGCACAGATGGACGTCACTCTACTCTGCTGTGTGGCTATAGTAAATTCTCTCATTCAGCCGTTGTCCAGTTAAACGTAGACTCTGCCTACCACTTGAATAAAACCTCCACCTCTCCTGTGTTTTTCTAATCCTCTCTTACTTTAATCAGCACATTGTCTAACCCTAGGTGATTAGTTCATACAGATTAAGTCGACTTGTTGGCCACCATAAGCACTGCCTAATGTCCCTTCCTGCAGGCTCTGATTATGGTATGGAGAACATGAAGTCATCGTGCTTCCATCTGAAAACAAACAAAAATTCCAAGACAGGATTACTAATGAGCTATTTATTCTACTTTCTTGGAAATTTCAAGTCTATTCTTCATCATTTATGTTTTCCCTAAAGAGTCGTATTTGCCATGTGCCCCTCTGTCCACCAGGGTCACCCTTGCCTTCACTGGTGTAAGCCTCCTTGTGTTCCTCACCTCTCTCATTGGTCTTCTACCAAACGGAAGGTAAATTTGATCCCAGCAACTGTGTTTAAATTCATCAGTATGATAAAACTAGTGGATGTGAAATGATGCGGTGGTCACTTTTTTTTTTTTTTTTTACAGATTGAAAAATTTTCTGAGTGAGAAAGTTCATTTGATGTGCTACAGAATATGTGTCCGCGCTCTGACTGCCATCATTACCTACCATGACAGGTAAAGCACCTGCAGTTGTTTCCTTGGTCCAGTCAAATTATGTGACTTATGAAAACATCTTGGGTCAGTTTGCCAGTATTTTTTGTTTAAAATACCTTTCTTGAGTTCTCAGTAACAATACCTTTCTAAAACATGTTTTACTTGATATTAAATGCATGTAGCTTTAGTCGTGGTTTAGTACCTAGTTCAGACACTGCTGAAGTTATACCTGTTTTGTGTAAGCAGAGCTTTTTTGCCTCTTAAATGTTAATGGCAGAAATTAATCTGTGGTATTAGAAGCTATACATAAACATTGGGCTCTGTGTAAGATGTAGCACATCTGTCCTGAGTGATCAGATCTCAGCTGCCAACGCTACATAGACATAAACACACATCCATACCACACAGTCAGCTGTCAGCAGCAAAACAGGAAATCAGCAGCTCTACTAATGTTTCTGTAAATTCACAAGTACATTCACTCACCTGAGTCATACCATTAAGATATGAACAAATTTAATATTCACATCATATATAAAATGATTTGGGACTTCACAGAGTTAAAGCAAGGTTTGTAGTTGGGATGTTGAACTCGGTGCGAGGATGCGCATGCCGACACTGACACAAGCCCCTGTGTGTTGGCCCCGCGCAGTGTTCCAGCGACTGGTTTTGCGCCTCCAAATGTCGTAACTCTGCATTCACTGCCTGTGCCTCTATTGAAATAGTTGGTCTGTCTGTTAACATTTTCTCCTTTTTACAACATTTCACAAGTCATAAAGTATAAGCATCAAGGTAATCATCAAGTATAAATGTCTACACCGCTTGTTCAGGTCCGTGCGCCATCAGCAGAGCCCTGCGTGACACTCAAAAGCGTGACTATAACCAACCCTTAAGACCAAGGTTGGGCGATATTGGCCAAAAGGTTAATGACGATTAATTGTCATATTTAGCCGATAACGATTAATGACGATTAATCCCCTGGGGTCTCTGGATGCCCTCATATCCTAATCACATGACCAATTTAAATCACTCTAGTGAGAAAGAAATGCTCTCTGTAAAAATGTGTTCCAAATTGTGTCAAAAGTACAGAATTCAGTACAATTTTTCATTTGTGTTGATAAAACAAGTTAAACCGGAGTTAGGAATGTGCGATATGGCAAAAAATTCATATCACGATATACATTATGATGAGTGGCGGTAACGATATATATCACGGTATAAAACTTATAATAAAAAATAAATAAATCACATATTAATTGAGTGGAATAAATATGTATAGGTAAAAAAATATTCCTTAAAATCTCCTTTTTCAAGGGACACTTTAAAGTCTCCCATAAAAATCTAAATTTAAGGGAGATCTACCTGCTTAAATCAAAGATATATATATATATATATATAGGCTGTACAGGTTTTTATTTTTTATTTTTGTCATAGTAAGGAAAAAACAACTGCATCGTTTATTTCATGTCACATTAAAAACAGATTTTCAACAAATTAACAAGCAATTAACTTATTTATTTATCTATCAAAATTTAACATGTAATTTGCATTAAAAATAATAATACTAATAAGAAACAGGAAACATAATCCGCGTGTTTTGTTTTGTTCCTTTTGAACCAATTCTATGATCTGCGCATCTTTCTGCGCATGTTTGATCTCCGTGACATCAGCGCGTAAAAGCGACGCAGAAAAGAGGTGAAGTGTCATGGCGTCGTGCATTATCGGTGTCTAGAGCCTGGACCAGCATAAACTCTGTGATGACTTACAGACAGTGAAATTAAAGCTAGAAAAAATATAGAAAAAGGCATCTTAGGAACAATCAAGTAAGTGAAAGGAGAAAGTTAAAACATTTGTTGGTAATCTGAATTGCGCGTTAAAGCTGTTGCTGTGTGATGATGATGTAGCTAAATCAATGTAAAGTCTCCACGCACGTGCTAGTAGTAGTTATTTGTACTTGTAAACAAATAATTTTAAAAGGATTTTCGGTGAGCTGTACAAATTTAACAACACTTATGGTAAAAACAGGTGTCGTTATAGTTTTGTATTTTACCTGAGTTGCTGATTTTTCTGTTTTCTATCTTTGTTTATCAGACCTATACGATTGTAATATAATAACTAATTTCTAAATGTAAACGTACTAGCACTACATTGTTCTGCATTCTAAAACTACGACTATGTGTTTACATAAAACGTTGCTAAACCTTTAAAATATAAGCTAATAAAAGTTGGTCATTTTTGCAGAATTTTATTTTTGCAAGTGTAAATTGTGAAATGAAAGCCAAACGACTCATTGCCTTGTTTAATGTACTGATTGCATCAATTTGAGAAACTACAGAGACAGAAAACTGAATTAAACAAAGTTAAATAGAAAATGGCTGGGAAAAAATATCCAAACATATTCTGTTTGGTATAAATCAGCAGAAAAAAAAAACTTGTGGCTAAGATTGTGAGAAAATATATTTAGTGATGTTGTAGTAGAGGAAAAAACATTTTAAAATAGCATAAAGAAAATATCTGTCTTTGTTGTAGCGACATATACAAGGCTTGCATCTCTTTTTTGCTTCAGTTCAGGATGGCGGACTCCAGTGACCCCAGTGGTCAACGGCTGTCGACCCCAGGAGGCAGCGGTAACGTAGGACTGGTGACGGGCCGTCGCCCGTCAGCCGGCATCTCTCCTGGCCGCCTACCCTCGATGCGATCCAGAGACCTCACACTGGGAGGAGTGAAGAAGGTCATCTGCCATGTTTCTCAATCAATCTACTGTTTTTAGCAAATATTTTAGCAAAGTGGTTCTCAAAACTGAAGTCAGGCCTCAACTGTGGGTTTTAAAACACCAAGTGGAAGTTGTAAACAAACAAACAAAAAAAGTTACAATGGATTTTTGGCAGGATCTCCTTGTTTTAGAAGAATATAAACAGCCTTTATTGTCCCGCGTGGGGAAATTCAGGTGTAGTAGCAGCAGCAGATACATACATCAATCCACAGAAACAGTATATTGCTATGTGACATTATCAATCGAAGTAATAATAGTAGAATTAAAGACAGTAACAGTAAAAAATAAATATAGATCAAGATAAAAGTAAGAATAATCATTACTGTAACGGGCCATCAAGATGAAATTGGATAAAATAAGGCATGATAGTGTGCAGAAAAATATAAATTATAGGAAAAAAACAGTCATGACCGACGCATGATCCGAGGGTGTGTGTGCAAATTAATTCAAACTCAGTCATTAAGTCCAATACAGGAAAAAAACAATTGCCACAGAATATTATTTATCTAATGACAGGGAGTAGAGTTGTTTGATGTGCAAACAAACATGGATGCTTATCGAGGTTGTTGGGAGCAGTGATGGTTGTAGAGTCTAACAGCTGATGGGAGGAATGATCTGCGGTGACGTTCTTTTGTGCATTTAGGAAGCAGCGGTCTGTCACTGAAGGAGCTCTGCAGATCAGCCACGGTTCTATGCATCCAACAATGTTTGAACACTTGAATCAGCAATAGTAGGGGTCACAAATCTGCAGATATAGGCTGTGTCCAAAACGGCAGGCCGGGTCCTCCGAAGGCCGAATTCGTCGGCCGCATAGTCACAGCGCCGCAACGAAGGACGTCCAAAACCAAAGACTCCTCCGATGCGGCCGACAAATACGTCCTTCCTTTGGCCCGAATCGAAGGACAGGTCTGATGGATCCTTCCCGGCCCACCGTATCCCATAATGCATTGCGGCCCGACCGGAGATTTTTTTATGCTAGTAATGGCGGACGAAGCGAGAGAAAAGAATACGTTTTAAATAAAAATATGGTGATATAAAATTTNGCTCTGATCTCTGCTGCTTAGTGTTTACTCGACTCCCATGCAGTCCACAAAAAGGGCAGGATGAATAAAATATTAAATAAATAAAAAGATACAGATGAACTTAAAAAAAATGTGACTTTTTCCAAGTGAAATGATCACAGTGTCAACCCCGTCAGCATCACCGCTTCATCAGCCAACCGCGCACACATCACATCACATGGCACCGAATCTGTCCGGAGGCACAACAATCCTCACACACTCTCTAATGTAGTCTTAACACTTGACTTCTTGCATAAATGTCAACTCTCCAATATGGTGGTGCTGACAGCGTAACGGAGGAGGACAAACAACATTTTTTTTTACATGCTCTACCAGCATATTCCAAAGAGATTAGGCTCCAGTAGATTACATAGAGCACCATCAAGACCTCAGAAATATACATGTGCCAACTGTTGTGCCATATGGACTGACGCCACAGGGCTTCTCTCCCCCCACAGCCTATCCGGAGGTCAGGGATGCCACCATGTAAGTCCAAAGTAAGCAGATTTCCTCTGGCATTAATTTTCAGGAGCATTTTTTTTTCTGGTTTAACTCATGGGACAACTTTGTTTTGGATTCCATTAGAGATTAAGGAAATTTTAATCAGATTATTGCAGTAATCTGCAGCTGAAACAATGAGCACAGGTGCAGCATAAAGAGAGATAACAGAGGGGTAGTGATCTTTCATAAACACATAATGTCTGCAGTCACAAAGTGACCGTGATGTATTGCCCTTTTCCCCGCCTTGCACACACTATAGGTTTGATGAAGATTCATTTGTTTTCAGCCGACTGAAGATGAATTATTCCTCCAAGTGTAATTAAGCTGCAGTCATCCATCATTAGTGGCAGTATGACAGGCTGCCCAGGTAACCCTCTGAGCTCCGGAGGGAAAGTGGAGTGTCTCTGTCAGGACAGGGCAGCTTAGGTGTGTTCGGAAAAGACAATCTGATCTCAGATACAGGATGCAGCATTTATTTCTGCAACTCTTAAGACATTACTTCAAGAAATTTAATGAATCTCTACATTTGTTCTTTGCAAATTAGTTTAAGTATTGTGGCAGTAGTTTCTAATGCACTGAAGAGCGGACTCAAACAATTCACTGCGTGCAATATATTTTTATGTACTTGCACATATATTTGTCTACAGTACTTTGCATAACTTACACATATCTGTAATCAAACTTCTACA